GATTGGGACAACTCCATCGCGCTGCTTTGAGACAAGTGTGGGGGACTCAATGTCAGATCGTTGTTTTCACTGAATCGCCGTTTGGATATTTGGTAACAATTAGGCTGGGGAAATTAGCTAAGTTGAGGTGAATGCTAATGATCATATTTATTCTAGTTTGCTCATATATTAGCTGATCAGAACATTTTTCTAGCATGTTATACAAGTGGATTTTGCTCATCAATTGCATAGTAGCCTGGCCTACTCCCAACCAAAAGCCTATGACTTGTCTGATAATCAATCAATGTGATTTTGTTTCACAGAATCTCTGTCTGTATATTTGGTTAATTGATCTCTGGCTGGACAAGTGGAAGAGGTAGCTCATGTATTCATTTACTCATCTATCACTGATCAGAAACATTTAGCATGCAATAATGTAGCCTAAATCAATTGTATTATTTGTTAATTGACTCACGTAGTGTAGCCTTACTGTATATAGCCTTAAATAGAGCCTAGGCTATTTTCCTATAGTCCCAATCCCACTGAAACCCAAATCGTGACTCCGCTCTTGTGTGTTATAACATTTCCGCTGCTTCTCTGCGCTGTCTCATATTGAGAGCTTAGGTAGAGAACGTGTGATCAACGAACGATATGATATGAGATTTTTACCTTGATATTAAAAAAATGTCCTCTCTTCATCTCCCCATTATTCATGAGCTGATCTGCTATCTGTATGAACATCAACTCGATTTTGCCAAATAGGAGATATTCTGTCATTTGTCGTTGGCGGTTGTCTAGCAAGCTTAGCAACTTTGGTCATTTTACTTTTTTTTGACTGCAGTTACAACGTTTGTATGATTCAACAATGCTGGCCTACTCGGGTTGTGCTCTGTGAGTCCTGAGCACACTCTCTGTCGAGATAGCCTAGGCCTACTGCTGAAATGCGCTGAATTAATTGAGGAACATGATAACGCTCTGAATTAATGAACGGCCGGTTTCGCAATTCACAACAATGTCATTGGCGATCAAAGTTACTCTACCATTACTACACTGAACAAAAATATAAATGCAACATGTAAAGTGTTGGTCCCATGTTTCATGAGCTGAAATAAAAGATCCCAGAAATTTTTAATATGCAGAAAAAGCATATTTCTCTCAAACTTTGTGCACAAATTTGTTACATCCCTGTTAGTGAGCATTTATCATTTGCCAAGATAATCAGTCCACCTGACAGGAGTGGCATATCAAGAAGCTGATTTAACAACATGATCATTACACAGGTGGACCTTGTGCTGGGGACAATAAAAGGCCACTCTAAAATGTTCAGATTTGTCACACAACACAATGCCACAGACGTCTCAAGTTTTGAGGGAGCGTGCAATTGGCATGATGACTTCAGGAATGTCCACCATAGCTGTTGCCAGAGAATTGAACATTTAATTTCTCTACCATAAGCCGTCTCCAACATAGTTTTAGAGAATTTGGCAGTACTGTACGTCCAACTGGCCTCCCAACTGCAGACCACGTGTATGGTGTCATGTGGGCAAGGGGTTTGCTGATGTCAACGTTGTGAACAGAGTGCCCCATGGTGGCGGTGGGGTTATGGTATGGGCAGGCATAAGCTACGGACAACGAACATAATTGCATTTTATTGATGACAATTTGAATGCACAGAAATACTGTGACGAGATCCTGAGGCCCATTTTTTTTAAAGGTATCTGTGACCAACAGATGCATATCTGTATTCCCAGTCATGTGAAATCCATAGATTAGGGCCTAATTTATTTATTTAAATTGACTGATTTCCTCATATGAACTGTTTACTCATTAAATCTTTGAAATTGTTACATGTTGCGTTTATATTTTTGTTCAGTATACACTGTAAAAATCAGTTTCATTTGCTGTGAAATCTTTAAATAGTGGCGCAGCCACAATGTCAATGTGGCACAGCCACAATGTCAATGTGGCACAGCCACAATCTTATTTTGGGAGAACCCTGAGTGACCATATCTTGGTTTTAAAGGCTTTAAATTGGCACTTCTGATTTTTGCTGGTATTCCTGGTGTTGAAACTTTGTAGATTTTCAGGAAAATATATGAATCCCTATTCCCTACTCCCAAGTGTGTTTTTATTATGACGATTCATCAACCCTTAGTTCTTCATCAGGTGCCTATGGGCAACTTCTACCCAGAGTCATCCATAGAGTATGTACTGTATACTACAAGAATACATGTATACGACAGGTCAAATGTTTTAGAACACCTACTCATTCAAGGGTTCTTCTTAATTTTTTTACTATTTTCTACATTGTAGAATAATAGTGAAGACATCAAAAATATGAAATAACACATATGGAATCATGTATTAACCAAAAAGGTGTTAAACCGATCAAAATATATTCTATATTTGAGATTCTTCGAATAGCCATCCTTTGCCTTGATGACAGCTTAGCACACTCTTGGCATTCTCTCAACCAGCTTCATGAGGTAGTCACCTGGAATGCATTTCAATTAACAGGTGTACCTTCTTAAAAGTTAATATGTGGAATAATGCGTTTGAAACAATCAGTTGTGTTGTGACAAGGGGGGGGGGGGGTTATGGTATACAGAAGATAGCCCTATTTGGTAAAAGACCAAGTCCATTTTATGGCAAGAACAGCTCAAATAAGCAAAGAGAAACGACTGTCCATCATTACTTTAAGACATGAAGGTCAGTCAATTCGGAACATTTCAAGAACTTTGAAAGTTTCTTCAAGTGCAGTCGCAAAACACCATCAAGTGCTATGATGAAACTGGCTCTCATGAGGACCGCCACAGGAATGGAAGACCCAGAGTTACCTCTGCTGCAGAGGATAAGTTCATTAGAGTTACCAGCCTCAGAAATTGCAGCCCAAATAAATGCTTCACAGAGTTCAAGTAACAGACACATCTCAACATCAACTGTTCAGAGGATACTCTGTGAATCAGGCCTTCATGGTCGAATTGCTGCAAAGAAACAACTACTAAAGGACACTAATAAGAAGAAGAGACTTGCTTGGGCCAAGAAACACAAGCAATGGACATTAAACCGGTGGAAATGTGTCCTTTGGTCTGGAGTCCATATTGGAGATTTTTTGTTCCAACCGCCATGTCTTTCTGAGACGCGGTGTGGGTGAATGGATGATCTCTGCATGTGTATTTCCCACCGTACAGCATGGAGTAGGAGGTGTTATGGTGTGGGGGTGCTTTGCTGGTGACACGGTCTGTGATTTATTTAGAAATCAAGGCACACTTAACCAGCATGCCCTACCACAGCATTCTGCAGTGATACGCCATCCCAACTGGTTTGGATTTAGTGGGACTATCATTTGTTTTTCAACAGGACAATGACCCAACAAACCTCCAGGCTGTGTAAGGGCTATTTGACCAAGAAGGAGAGTGATGGAGTGCTGCATCAGATGACCTGGCCTCCACAATCTCCCGACCTCAACCAAATTGAGATGGTTTGGGATGAGTCGGACGGCAGAGTGAAGGAAAAGCAGCCAACAAGTGCCTAGTATGTGGGACCTCCTTCAAGTCTGTTGGAAAAGCATTCCAGGTGAAGCTGGTTGAGAGAATGCCAAGAGTGTGCAAAGCTGTCATAAAGGCAAAGAGTGGCTATTTGAAGAATCTCAAATCTCAAATATATTTTGATTTGTTTAACACTTTTTTGGTTACTACATGATTCCATATGTGTTATTTCATAGTTTTGATGTCTTCACTATTATTCTACAATGTAGAAAATTGTAAAAATGAAGAAAAACCTTTGAATTAGTAGGTGTTGTAGGTAACTTTTGACCGGTAGTGTACATACTTCAGCGTTCCTGTTAACAGGAAGCAGGGATATTTGGGATTAGAGATTAGCAGGGATATGGCATCAGTCATAGCTGGGGCGTCGCCGATTGAGGTCATTTGACAGGGTGGGGGAGGGGCAGGGCACTGTAGGGGTCGAGCGGGACCAATGGTGACCCTGTTTGGCTGTCACTGTCGATTAGTTTTTCTCTGAGGAAAGCAGGCTTTTCCCCCTCTGTGTTATATCATTGAAATGTCAGGCTGCATGCAACTCTGTGTCAGCCTCTAAGAGCTGTTCTGCCTCTGGTGCTGGACTTGAAATATGTGCTCAGAGTACACTGCCATATACAAGAGGGACCCAACTGTCTTGGTGTATTTGCAACTCTGTCTTGATCAAAATGAAGTGTTGGCTTGTAAGTGTGTTTTTGTTTCTACTAACAAGATAATTTTTAAATGTGTTAACTTTTCTTTTCAAGCATTATGTTGGTTTTAATATTTGACTAACCATAACAAATATTATTGAACCGTGAAATGTCTTAATAGAACTAGACACAACTTGATGACATGGTTTCCTTGACCTAACCTCAACCTTTATGTTCAATGTGTTAGACACTTACAGGTTTTACACAGTCCATTTTGATTAGCTTCTTCAAATGTCCCTTTGTTTTAGCCAGGCTTAGTGGTCATGCATTCAGCATTGTGGTGCTCATGTGAATTTTGGCTTCAGGCCAATACCTACTTCTTACTTAAAACATAGTTTTCTGTGTGTGGGTGTCATAGAAACCATCTCTCCCCCACACCATTAGACAACAGCTCTAACTGACAGTCACACTCAATTAACTTGGTGTTTCAATGATGTTGACCTTGGATTATTGTTACCTTCTTCTCGCTCTCTACTACCTTCTTACTCATCTCTCTCTCTCTCTCTCCCTCTCTCCCCTCTCTCTCTCTCTCTCTCTCTCTCTCTCTCTCTCGCTCTCTTCGCGATCTCTCGCTTCTCTTCTTCTCTATCTTCTATCTCTCTCCTACTCTCTCCCTCTTTTCTCTCCCCATCATTCTTATTCCTCTCTTATTCGTCTCTCTTTCTTCCCCTCTTTTCCCTCCCTTTCTCACTATCACCTCACCTTCTCCTCTCGTCTTATCATCTCTCTCCTTGTGTTGCACCCTCTCTCCCTCTTTTCCCCCTCTCCCTCCTCTCTCTCCCTCCCCATGATGTCCGTTCAGCAGCAGCTGGAGAGGAAGGACAGTCAGAGCAGCTCCCAGCACAGTGTGTGCAGCCATCGCAGCACCCACACAGACTCACCCAGCCACCCCCCCTCCAACATGTCCAGTGAGGCCATGGCCCCCCCTCCGGCCGCACCCACTCAGCCGCTGCCTGGCCTGCCTCCCCTGCCCACCCAGGACCCTGGAGATGGCACCATGACCCTCCAGAAGAAGCCAGACCCCTTCAAGATCTGGGCCCAGTCCAGGAGCATGTATGAGAGCAGACGTGAGTAGACTCAAAATCAAATACTTCATTGTGGTTTATGATGACAACTTATAAAGGTAGGTTCAACAATGCTGCCGAACACAATTTGATATATGTTTTTTTTTTATGTCTAAGGCACTGCATCGCAGTGCTAGAGGCGTTACTACAGACCCGGGTTCATTCCCAGGCTGCGCCACAACCGGCCGTGGCCGGGAGTCCCATAGGATGGCGCACAATTGGCCCAGCGTCGTCAGGGTTAGGGGAGGGTTTGGCAGGGTGGGCTTTACTTGGCTCATCGCGCCCTAGCGACTCCTTGTGGCGGGCCAGGTGCCTGCAGGCTGACCCCGGTCACCAGTTGAACGGTGTTTCCTCTGACACATAGGTGCGGCTGGCTTCCGGGTTAAGCTGGCAGGTGTTAAGGAGCGCGGTTAGGCGGGTCATGTTTCGGAGGATGCATGACTCCACGTTCACCTCTCCCGAGCCCGTTGGGGAGTTGCAGCGATGAGACAGCGATGAGGCAAGATAGTAATTGAAATTGGGAGAAAAAAGGGTGGCAATTTTCTTTTTACACTTTTATTTTATTGATACAGGTACAAACATTGAGACTTTAGAGTGAATGAGCCATGTATTTGATCATCATGTCTGTTGTTTGGTGGGAAGAGAGGAACTTTTCTAATTTTTCTGTTCGGAATATACTAGAGAGTGTATGAATTTGTTGAAAGTGTGTGGGTGTTGCATTGAATCCTGTAGGAGAAGCATTGTTGAGTACTTTGTAGGAACAGCTCAGTGTGTGTGTGTGTGTGTGTGTGTGTGTGTGTGTGTGTGTGTGTGTGTGTGTGTGGTATGACTCAAACCTGAATCTATGACAAAAGGTGTCTCAGAGAGCTTAGTCTCCTTGAAAAACAGACATGTTTCCTGCTCTGTGGCACTATCGACATCTCCCACAATTGAAGCACCTGCATTTCCAAACACTCAGAGGTGTGTGTAGGTGTGTGTGTACTGCCTCGCCACCGGAAGAAGGGGTTAGAAATGAAGGATCACATAAATCCTACCTTGCTGACGGCTCAGAAATGAAGTATGGTATTATCCAATGTTGACCCAAGCTTACATCATGAGCTATTTCTGTGTTGCTTGGGCAGGAGTACAGAAGTACAACTGGAGGTTGACTGTGGTTAGTGGATAAGAGCGTCTGCTAAATGACGAAAATGTAAATGTAAGTGATATGCACAACCATTTGAAAAAAAGAATGTGAATGTTTCGGTCAATAGATGTTCTCATCAGCAGAAAACAAGTCTATTGACCAAAACGTCCATTTGATAGTGTGGCGCATACAATACTTTTTTCTCTAAGCATCGGGAGCAATAGAGTGTACACCCGTTTTCAATTGTAAAAGCAGAACATTTGTTCTGAAGGCTCTCCCACATATCCTTTGCAATCACAACTCAGGTCTTCTATTATTCATGTAACGAGTGAAGGAGGGAACCACCCCACTTATTTACTCTATTCTCTTGAGAGAAATGGTTTGTTCTCCAATACATGACTCCTCGAGAAAAACTGTTATTCTATATTAAAGAGTAATTTACATTGCAACTTATACATTAAGACTGACTGGGGGACAATCAAACAGAACTTACTGTAATAGGAATGTTGTTGTTTTTCTCGATTGACATTTGCAATTCATAAGCGGTAGGCCGTTGCGTGTCTGACGTCAACAATAATGTGCTTACACACTTCAGAAGAATATGCACATTACGTGTGCACGTGCAGCTTGTGTGTTTGTGTGTTCGTGTGTGTGTTAATGGTATCCTTTTGGGCTGAAGTGTGTATGCATGCAGGGTTGGGTAGGTTACTTTCTAAATGTAATCCATCACAGTTACTAGTTACCTGTCCAAAATTGTAATCAGTAATGTAATTTTTGGTTACCCAAACTCAGTAACGTAATCTGATCATTTTTTGTTGTTGTATTGCTTTCCCTTTAAGAGGCATTAGAAGAAGACCAAAAGGATCCATCAAATACATTTGGTGTGTCATCATAGTGGTCTCTGATTTATGGTCAGACTCACTCAGGTGGAACAAACCTAAACTTGCACCTTTTTTCAATGCTGAATTGAATGTCATTGAGAAAACAGAAAGGGGTCAATGTATCATTTTTTCTACAAACTTCCTTTTCTACATTTCTAAAGTCATCCAATAAGTAATCAACTAGTTTCTAAAAAGTATCTGTAATCTGACAAAAAAATAAATACAAAATCTGGTAACGTAACTGATTACACATAGTTTTGTGTGTGTAATCGGATCACATGTAACTGATTAATGTAATCGGTTACTCCCCAACCATATATGAACGTCAGTGACTATTGCTAGTTGCCAACCAGCCCCAGCCTGGTCGTGTGTGTGTGTTAGAAGGCGCTGGCGGTGTTGCAGTTCTGGTTAATCAGTGTGTAAAGTAGAGCCAGTAGAATCTAGGTCTGCTGCTGCTGATTAAATATTAACTGGGCTCGTGAGGGCTGCTTTAAGCTCAGCCTGATTGGTATATCTGTTTGATAAACCCTCAAGGAGCCGCAGCCCTCTGCTGTGGAGCTGATCTTACTGTTTGAGTGGGCTGGATTATTAGAATGGGTTGGAGTTGGAGAGGGGGAGGGGGAGAGGAAAAGAGAGATGTTGAGTGTGTGCTGTGTGTTCATGTAGCAGATTGTGGACTGATATCAGCATTATGGTGCTCTGTGGCATTGGTGGTGCCAGGAGATAGCTAGGACAGAGACAGGACTGAGACAGGACTAGAGATGAGACCATGCTTGGGACCCTCCTGCAGAGAACATTTTGTCTGACGCTTAGAGGCTGCATGTGTGTGTGTGTGTGTGTGTGTGTGTGTAAGTGAGAGCTCTGATCGCTGTGCTAGGGACAGGGATCAGTGGAGGGCTAATGACTGATCCAACACACACACACACACACACAGACCCAGAGCTGAGGGCTAATGGAGCCTGTGTGGCAGACAGAAGGCGGATCAGGAGAAATGGCCCGTGCCCTGTGTTCAGACTGTCCCTGTGGGTGAACAGACTGACACCAAATCGCCTGTGTCCTCACTAGGGCTGTGGTAGTCATGACATTTTGTCAGCCGGTTATTATAGTGCAAAAGACTGCCGGTCTCACGGTAATTGACCGTTAATTAACATAAACACGTTTAGCATCTCCAGGCCTCCACACATACAAGCAGTTGATGTGTGCCTTTGGAACATCTACATTTAAAAAAGTATAATAAATCAATTTAATATAAACCATGACAATAAATTCATTATTTATTTTAGGAGAGTCTAAAGACACATTATGAGATTAAGATGTATTTCTGAAGAACAGAATATCAGTTGGTCTACTCTATGTTATCTGGCTATGCACTATGCCATAGGCTTGTTTATTTAGCTGACAAGATATGCTTTAGTCCCATGCTGTTATTTTATTTTGTATGATTTTATAGTAAGAAGAATATAATTGAACTTAGCTGAATAAAATAAAAATGATATTTTTCCCATTACGGAGCGAGTGCGCACATGAAATCAAATCAAATCAAATTGTATTTTGTCACATACAAATGTAGCGAAATGCTTGTGGTTTTTTAGCACATTTTGCGCCGAATACAACAGGTGTAGACCTTACAGTGAAATGCTTACTTACAAGCCCTTAACCAAAAATGCAGTTTCAAGAAAAATAAGTGTTAAGTAAAAAATAGATAGTAAAAAATGTAAATAACAAATAATTAAAAAGCAGCAGTAAAATAACAGTAGCGAGACTATATACAGGGGGTACCGGTACAGAGTCAATGTGCGGGGGCTCAGGTTAGTCGAGGTAATTGAGGTAATATGTACATGTAGGTAGAGTTAAAGTGACTATGCATAGATGATAAACAGAGAGTAGCAGCAGCGTAAAAGGAGGGGGGGACACTGCAAATAGTCCGGGTAGCCATTTGATTAGCTGTTCAGGAGTCTTATGGCTTGGGGTAAAAGCTGTTAAGAAGCCTTTTGGACCTAGACTTGGCGCTCCGGTACCGCTTGCCGTGCGGTAACAGAGAGAACAGTCTATGACTAGGAAGCTTGGCCCCAGTGATGTACTGGGCCGTACGCACTACCCTCTGTAGTGCCTTGCAGTCGGAGGCCGAGCAGTTGCCATACCAGTCAGGATGCAACCAGTCAGGATGCTCTCGATGGTGCAGATGTAGAACCTTTTGACAATCTGAGGACCCATGCCAAATCTTTTCAGTCTCCTGACGGGGAATAGGTTTTGTCGTACCATCTTCACAACTGTCTTGGTGTGTTTGGACCATGATTGTTGGTGATGTGGACACCAAGGTACTTGAAGCTCTCAACCTGCTCCACTACAGCCCCATCGATGAGAATGGGGGCGTGCTCGGTCCTCTTATTTTTCCTGTAGTCCACAATAATCTCCTTTGTCTTGATCACATTGAGGGAGAGGTTGTTATCCTGGCACCACACTGCCTAACACTCTTGTGTCGTCTGCAAACTTAAATATGGTGTTGGAGTCGTGCCTGGCCGTGCAGTCATGGGTGAATAGGGAGTACAGGAGGGGACTGAGCACGCACCCCTGAGGGCCCCCGTGTTGAGGATCAGCGTGGCAGATGTGTTGTTACCTACACTTATCACCTGGGGGCGGCTCGTCAGGAAGTCCAGAATCCAGTTAAAGAGGGAGGTGTTTAGTCCCATGGTCCTTAGCTTAGTGATGAGCTTTGAGGGCACTATGCTGAGCTGTAGTCAATGAATAGCATTCTCACATAGGTGTTCCTCTTGTTCAGGTGGGAAAGGGCAGTGTGGATCTGTTGGGGTGGTATGCAAATTAGAGTGGGTCTAGGGTTTCTGGGATAATGGTGTTGATGTGAGCCATGACCAGCCTTTCAAAGCACTTCATGGCTACAGACGTGAGTGCTACAGGTCAGTAGTCATTTAGGCAGGTTACCTACGGGTTCTTGGGCACAGGGACTATGGTGGTCTGCTTGAAACATGTTGGTATTACAGACTCAGTCAGGGACAGGTTGAAATGGCAGTGAAGACACTTGCCAGTTGGTCAGCGCATGGTCGGAGTACACGTCCTGGTAATCCATCTGGCCCTGCGGCCTTGTGAATGTCGACCTGTTTAAAGGTCTTACTCACATCGGCTATGGAGAGCGTGATCACACAGTCATCCATAACAGCTGATGCTCTCATGCATGCTTCAGTGTTGCTTGCCTCGAAGCGAGAATTTAAGTAATTTAGGTTGTCTGGTAGGCTCGTGTCACTGGGCAGCTCGCGGCTGTGCTTCCCTTTGTAGTCTAAAAGTTTGCAAGCCCTGCCACATCCGACGAGCATTGGAGCCGGTGTAGTACAAATAAATCTTAGGCCTGTATTGACGCTTTGCCTGTTTGATGGTTCGTCTGAGGGCATAGCGGGATTTCTTATAAGCGTCTGGGTTAGAGTCCCGCTCCTTGAAAGCGGCAGCTCTACCCTTTAGCTCAGTGTGGATGTTGCCTGTAATCCATGGCTTCTGGTTGGGGTAAGTACGGTCACTGTGGGGACGACGTCATCGATGCACTTATTGATGAAGCCAGTGACTGATGTGGTGTACTCCTCCAGTAGCTTAATTTGGGAAACCAAGTGAAATCGGTTCAGGAACAAAGAAACATATTTCACCAAACTGTTGATAGTCTGCACACTCGAGAAAGGATAAAGGGGAGAGAGGAGGATATGGAAATGTATGGTGGTAAGATATTCTGCATAGCTAAAGGTAATGTGTCATCCAATTAATTATGAAATTTCCTATTACTAGGCTATTCAAAATCAAATACAAATTCTCTAATTGTAGGCTAACTGTAAGCCGCCCTGCTCAATCAATGAACCAACAGCATCGCCTAGGGCTATACATTCTCTCCCAGACTCATGGATAGAAATTGTGGACCGTAGCATAAGGTAACCAGTCCATCCAGTATGCATAATAATACAGTCCACACTAAAAGGCTAGAACAATTATGTACCAAAGACATCTTAAATCAGTTTTGTTTTATGTTTTTCTGCCATGCATAATATGCAGTAGGCTATACATTGTATAAAGGCACAATCATAATTTTTATTTAAACAAAAAAAAATCCTATGCATATGCGCTCTAATATGCATATGAGGGTTTTTAATTAATCATCACCTTAGAAAGCGCTGTCCATTTCATTGTATTAGGCTTGGAAACAACATCCACAACAACCATGTTTTACACTGTTTCAACCTGCTGTTGAACTTCTGTCTTCAAATTGATCATCACAGTGAGGTGAGTTTTAGAAGTACTATAGGCCTACTATTTTGATGATATGTGTTTGATGGGATTTTCGATTGCATTTGCATTGATGTCAGAGTGGTTAGAGGGACAATAGAGCCCTGAGTACCAGGCCATTAGGACCCGATGGTAGAGGCAAGTTGGGTACTACCAAAGCATGTCCAGAGTGCATAAAAGGTGATTACCATGACTCAACGATCACGTGGAATTTTACTACGGTCATGACTCATGACTTCCGATGTGGCAGTAATATGGTCATTGCAACTGCTATAGTCCTCACACAGCCTGCCACAGCCACGGAGGGCTTACAAACGCGTGTGTGCTGCGTGTGTTTGTGTGTTCCAGAGAGATGGGGAAAGAGATAAAGAGGCAGAGAGAGTTAAAAAAGGTCACATTCACAAAGAGAGCATTTGCATCCTGGCATTTGTTCCTCCTGTCCTGTGGGAGCCAACCCTACACCCGAGAGAAGGAGCCTAATATGCCCAGTGATGCAGAGGAGAGCAGAGAGGAGGGGGTGTAATAACAAGATCTTACTTAACTGAATGTGTATTGATTAATGCAACAGTCATGCCGTAGAGTTATCTTTCTGGGTGTCAGGTCCACTCCCTGTTTCAACTCCACTGAGATCTTGTTGTTGTTGTGTGTTTCAGAGCCAGATTGCCAGGAGCAGGAGATCTTCCTGTGGCGGAAGGATACAGGTTTTGGGTTCCGCATTCTGGGAGGAAATGAGCCCGGGGAGCCAGTGAGTATCTCTCCACCATTCCTCCACCATGTCCCTTGTCTGTCACTGTTTAGATTAGACGTGCCAAGGAAAAGCAAAGGGATTCTAAAGGGACATTTTCATATTGAATCACTCCCCTTGCGGCACACCATTCACTTAGACGACGAAACATTCCAAAGCAAGACTGGAAACATAAAACATTCCTTGTAATTCCATCACGTGTTAAACACTAAACAGAGTTATGAATGCGTGTTAATGAATGCGTGTTAAAAGGGCAGCTATAGTACTGAACCCTCAATGGTCAATTACAGCTTCATCACTGTATGTTCATCACTGTATGTCAGAGTCCCTGCCTTAGGGCTTTCTTTGTTAAGCTTCAAACACACACACTTTCACAACACTCATTCTGTGTCAGATCACAATCACACTGTGATGCTCAACCAACTACCAAGCACTGGCAGCCTCTTAGTCTTCCTTCTCTGTTCCATCTGCATCACTTTTTCTTTAATATGGAGTAGTAAAAATCTACAGTCTGCTGTCTGTCTGTCTGACTGTGAGAGATGACTGGTGCTGTGTGTTAGATAAGGTAGGTCTGCATGCTGGTCTCAGGAGGTTCATTTAGACAGCTTGTTAGGGGAAGAAAGGGCCTTACCCAGAAGCCTTTGGTTCTGTGCCATGTTTTTCTAAGGGACATGAAGAGAGAAAAGTAGAGAAAAAAGAATGAAGGCAAAGAGCGAGCGATAGGGAGAGTGAGAAATAGAGAGATGCTGTAGGCAGCAAGCCTACCGCAGAGGTATTAGCAGTTGTTATTTGTGCCAAGGATGCTCCGCGGTACACCCTGTACTCATTTCCTACAGAAACACACACACACTCACCTCTCCCACACAGTAAGACCAGCACTATCAATTCTACAGCCTCAATAGACTACAATGGCGGCTTTGGCCTTCTTCAGTTACTACTAACATGGTCAAAAGGCACCGAGCATTTTGGATGGAATGGAACATAAAAAAGGGTTTTATTTCACTGTGCTGTATTGAACTTGAACTACAAGTGAAGTACAGGGCTAATGTATCTGTATTACGTTTTGTAGATCTACATTGGCCACATAGTGAAGTATGGTGCAGCAGATGAGGACGGGCGCCTGCGTTCGGGGGACGAGCTCATCTCTGTTGATGGCACGGCGGTGGTGGGGAAGTCTCACCAGCTGGTGGTGCAGCTGATGCAGCAGGCCGCCAAGCAGGGCCACGTCAACCTCACCGTCCGACGCAAGAGCTCTGGATACGGAGGTGAGGACAGGTCACAGAGACTACACAGCCATATGCACACTCAGCCACACACTCAACAACAGCAGCCGCCTACACTACCCACACAAGCCTGAGACCAAGTGCTTAGCGGCTCAGTTAACTATCACTAGCCCATGCCAAATGTGAGAAAAACGACTTTGCATGCTGTTTGAATGTTGTTTGTATATTTGCCGAACACCTTTTTTGTATTGCCCGTCCTCCTTCATCCCCCCTCCTTCCTCCGTCTCTTCTTCAGTTTCAAAAGGGGAGGGTGACGTGCCCCCGTCCCCTGCCTCGTCCCACCACAGCAGCACCCAGGCACCCTCCCTGACGGAGGGCAAGCGGACCCCCCAGGGCAGCCAGAACTCCCTCAACACGGTCAGCTCCGGCAGTGGCTCCACCAGTGGCATCGGTAGTGGGGGAGGAGGTGGCTCCGGCAGTGCTGTGGTCACCGCAGCCCTGCAGCCCTATGACGTGGAGATCCAACGTGGAGAGAATGAGGGCTTCGGATTCGTCATTGTGTCGTCTGTCTCTAGGCCTGATGCTGGGACTACTTTGGGTGAGTGGGATGGGCAATGCTACGCTGGGCTGTGTTATGGTGAGCTGGGCTTTGCTACTACCAGAGTGGGCTATGATGGGTTTAGTTGGAATATTTTGTTCTCAGATTGGTCTGAGAACCAGTTTTAATTTGCTATGGGTTGAGCTGGGTTGAACTGGGTTGAACTGGGGAATAATCTGGTAAAATATCCTGTAATCTGGGCAAAGACTGATTCTTCTGCTTGACTTTACTGTCGTCATTAGTCTATATCTACAGTATTAACAATATTTTCTGAAAAACAACCCTTTAAGGGTTAATTTACACTTGAAAAGCATGTATTAATAAACAGCCACTTGAAAAGTTCTCAGGTGATTGAGTAGTAGCTAAGCCTAATAACCACAGAACACTCCCCCTGATGTTATCCAGACAGCCCATTTCCTTGTGTTATCAAAAGTCCCTCTCAAAGTTTACAAAGTGAGACAGGGAAATAGTGATGCACCAGTGCGTGAAACTGCCTGAGTCTGCCAAGCAGCACTCCAGTAAACACACAACCCTAACAATGCATCAACACCACCCGCCACTCAGCGACATGATTGATGTCATTTCTTCGGGGTGGAATTACAATATTTTGACAGTCACTCCTCATTGAGTTCCCACCTTCTCTATGACTAGCAGGGGAGTAGTTTCTGATGGGAGTGGACTTAATGGCACAGCCCGAGGTCACAAAATCCATAACCATGAGCTTAGGAAAACAGAAATCTCTTTATGTGCCCAGGCGCATTCACCACCGGGGATAACTGGCTGGCTGATGCTTTATCAAAAACACCATCAACACCGATTCAGAGGCAGAATTGCGACATGGTCGGTTCTGGCTGATTCACTCAGCATGTAATTGAAGTTGGACTGAGCACATTCTATAGTTGTCCATAATGTTTATGTATGAAGTAAAAATTGTGAAATTGGCCCCATTAAGGTCACTCAGCCGTCAAAGAGGGATTTTAAGCCGCAGGGCCAGACTGATTACCAGGATGCGTACTCAGAGCATGTACTGACCAGCTGGCAAGTGTCTTCACTGACATTTTCAACCTCTCCCTGTTTCAAGCAGACTACCATAGTCCCTGTGCCCAAGAACGGCAAGGTAACCTGCCTAAATGACTACGGGTCCATAGCACTCACATCTGTAGCCATGAAATGCTTTGAAAGGTTGGTCATGGCTCACACCATCATCCCAGAAATCCTGGACGCTCTCCAATTTGCATACCGCCCCAACAGATCCACAGATCTCTATTGCACTCCACACTGCCCTTTCCCACCTGGACAAAAGCAACACCAACGTGAGAACAATGTTCATTGACTACAGCTCAGCCCTCCAAGCTCATCACTAAGCTAAGGACCCTGGGACTGAACACCTCGCTCTGGATCCTGGACTTTCTGACGGGCTGCCCCCAGGTGGTGAGGGAAGGCAACAATACATCCGCCACACTGACCATCAACACGGGGGGCCCTCAGGGGTGTGTGCTTAGTCCCCTACTGTACTCGCTGTTCACCCATGACTGCATGGCCGCGCACAACTCCAACACCATCATTAAGTTTGCCAACGACACGACGGTACTTGGCCCGATCACCGACGACGATGAGACAGCCTATAGGGAGGAGATTAGAGACCTGGCTGTGTGGTGCCAGGACAACAACCTCTCCCTCAACGTGAGCAAGACAAAGGAGCTGATCGTGGACTACGGAAAAAGGAGGGCCGAGCACGCCCCCATTCACATCGACGGGGCTGTAGTGGAGGGGTCGAGAGCTTCAAGTTCCTTGGTGTCCACATCACTAAGGACCTATCATGGTCCAAACACACCAACACAGTCGTGAAGAGGGCACGACAACACCTGTTCCCACTCAGGAGGCTGAAAGGATTTTGCATGGGACCTTAGATCCTCAAAAATGTTTTACAGCTGCACCATCGAGAGCATCCTGACTGGTTGCATCACCGCTTGGTATGGCAACTGCTCGGCATCCGACCGCAAGGCGCTACAGAGGGCAGTGCGTACAGCCTATTACATCACTGGGGTCGAGCTTCTTGCCTTCCAGGACCTCTATACCAGGCGGCGTCAAAGGAAGGCCCTACAAATTGTCAAAGACTCCAGCCACCTAAGTCATAGACTGTTCTCTCTGCTACCGCACGGCAAGCGGTACCGGAGCACCAGGTCTGGGACCAAAAGGCTCCTTAACAGCTTCTACCCCCAAGCCATAAGACTGCTGAACAGTTCATCAAATGGCTACCCGGACTATTTGCAATGACCCCCTTATTTTGTTATGATTTTTTATAATTCTTTGCACGGACTCTTGCACAGGCTCAATGTACACTCACTGGACTCTAGCCACACACCCACACATACTACACTGACACTCCAACACACACACACACACACATACATATTGATGCCACACACACACAGATATATTCACATTCCTTCACACTCTTCACATAGTCTGCTGCTACTCTCTGTTTATTATCTATGCATAGTCACTTTACCCATACCTACATGTACAGTGGGGAGAACAAGTATTTGATACACTGCCGATTTTGCAGGTTTTCCTACTTACAAAGCATGTAGAGGTCTGTAATTTTTATCATAGGTACACTTCAACTGTGAGAGACGGAATCTAAAACAAAAATCCAGAAAATCACATTGTATGATTTTTAAGTAATTAATTTGCATTTTATTGCATGGCATAAGTATTTGATCACCTACCAATCAGTAAGAATTCCGGCTCTCACAGACCTGTTAGTTTTTCTTTAAGAAGCCCTCCTGTTCTCCACTCATTACCTGGATTAACTGCACCTGTTTGAACTCATTACCTGTATAAAAGACACCTGTCCACACACTCAATCAAACAGACTCCAACCTCTCCACAATGGCCAAGACCAGAGAGCTGTGTAAGGACATCAGGGATACAATTGTAGACCTGCACAAGGCTGGGATGGGCTACAGGACAATAGGCAAGCAGCTTGGTGAGAAGGCAACAACTGTTGGCGCAATTATTAGAAAATGGAAGAAGTTCAAGATGACGGTCAATCACCCTCGGTCTGGGGCTCCATGCAAGATCTCACCTTGTGGGGCATCAATGATCATGAGGAAGGTGAGGGATCAGCCCAGAACTACACGGCAGGACCTGGTCAATGACCTGAAGAGAGCTGGGACCACAGTCTCAAAGAAAACCATTAGTAACACACTACGCCGTCATGGATTAAAATCCTGCAGCGCATGCAAGGTCCCCCTGCTCAAGCCAGCGCATGTCCAGGCCCGTCTGAAGTTTGCCAATGACCATCTGGATGATCCAGAGGAGGAATGGGAGAAGGTCATGTGGTATGATGAAACAAAAATAGAGCTTTTTGGTCTAAACTCCACTCGCCGTGTTTGGATGAAGAAGAAGGATGAGTACAACCCCAAGAACACCATCCCAACCGTGAAGCATGGAGGTGGAAACATCATTCTTTGGGGATGCTTTTCTGCAAAGGGGACAGGACGACTGCACCGTATTGAGGGGAGGATGGATGGGGCCATGTATCGCGAGATCTTGGCCAACAACCTCCTTCCATCTGTAAGAGCATTGAAGATGGGTCGAGGCTGGGTCTTCCAGCATGACAACGACCCGAAACACACAGCCAGGGCAACTAAGGAGTGGCTCCGTAAGAAGCATCTCAAGGTCCTGGAGTGGCCTAGCCAGTCTCCAGACCTGAACCCAATAGAAAATCTTTGGAGGGAGCTGAAAGTCCATAATGCCCAGCGACAGCCCCGAAACCTGAAGGATCTGGAGAAGGTCTGTATGGAGGAGTGGGCCAAAATCCCTGCTGCAGTGTGTGCAAACCTGGTCAAGACCTACAGGAAACGTATGATCTCTGTAATTACAAACAAAGGTTTCTGTACCAAATATTAAGTTCTGCTTTTCTGATATATCAAATACTTATATCATGCAATAAAATGCAAATTAATTACTTAAAAATCATGCAATGTGATTTTCTGGTCTCTCACAGTTGAAGTGTACCTATGATAAAAATTACAGACCTCTACATGCTTTGTAAGTAGGAAAACCTGCAAAATCGGCAGTGTATCAAATACTTGTTCTCCCCACTGTATATATTACTTCAATTACCTCGACTAACCCGTTGCACATTGACTCGGTACCGGTACCCCTTGTATATAGCCTCGTTATTGTTATTTTATTGTGTTACTATTTTTCCTTTAGTTTATTTAGCAAATGTTTCTTACTTACTTTTTAAAACTCTGCATTGTTGGTTAAGGGCTCGTAAGTAAGCATTTCACGGTAAGTTCTACACCTGTTGTATTCGGCGCATGTGACAAATACAATTGTATTTGATTTGATTTAAATGTCCTCCTCTGAACAAATTTGGTATCAAGTTCCCTCTGAGTTTGCAGCACCAATATTGCTCCAAGGTCTCTTTACACAGCCTACCTGATGACCAGGAAGATGTAGCATGGTGTAAAACATGCTATAGGGCCTGGATACTATCAAATATATGTTTTGTTAGCTACTGTGCAGTGCAAAGGGCCCGGTTCCATTGATCCTGTAGGTTATGGTTGAAGCCCCATAAAATAGAAAGTAGAGGTAGAGGATGTTGAGGTATCATTTATACAAGCAGGAGATATCCCACTGAGACTTGATGTCTTGCTTTATGGGCGACTTGAATATGCTCGTCAGCACTGTCTGCAGCTGGGTCCTCAGACTCAGTGACACTTCTGTCTCTGGTTGTGTCTCAAATTATACCCTATATTCTCCATGTAGTGCACTACTTCTGGCCAGACCCCTATATTCTCCATGTAGTGCACTACTTTTAGCCAGACCAGAGCCCTATGTGGGAATCGTTTGAGAGTCTCTTCCCATCTCATTGTGGGGATGGGATGAATTAATGTGCTGATGGGGATGTTTCTCTACCAAATCTTCCCCTCCGCTAGCGGAGTTCCAACATAGAGATAATGAGAGGGAATATTGAAGGAGGGAAATTGATCACAAATGGATGGATGTGCACTATCTATGGATTATTAGTTTGCCTGAGAGGGCCATAGATGTTTGGGTATTGTAACGGACAAAGTGCTTTCCACTGGCTCTATCCCTCTCTCAGACATCATACTATGCAAACCCCTTTTCTCCCACCAGCCCAGCCCACCATTGTGAGCTGCTGTGCGCTGGTGTTGTGTTCAGCAGATTGGGTATTACATCCTGGGTATTTGTCACACCCAGTAATGTCCCATATCTCATTATTTGGATAGAGTGGCAGGACACAAGTGCAGTTTTTAATCAAGAAGAAGGGAGGGGAGCTTGGAGCGCAAGGTGATGTGATAAATATGGATGTGGGAGGGAGGGAGGGAGGGAGAGAGAAGGGAAGGAGAGAGAGAGAGAGAGAGAGAGAGGGAGAGGGAGGGAGGGGAAGGAGAGGAGAGGAGAGAGAGAGAAAGCTCCCTAGAGTCTGTTCAGAGCTGCTCTGTAAACAAGATGTGCTGTATTGAACGCTGTCACTCAGCTTGTACAGCTTGTATTGCTTTGCTTGCGTAGCACGCAGTATGCAAACAGTCCCATGCAATGCTAGCATTTCTCTGTCTATAGCCTCTCTGATATAGTGTGCGTTTCTCTCTTGACATCAGTGAGGAGCCTGAGATTTCTGAGTGTCAATCTTTAGGAATACATCTCATTCTCTGAGCCGTTCCAAGGCCCAGAAACCAAACGACACCTCCAGCATCTAACCACCAGTTCCAGGTGATTTACGTCCCATTATTAACGCATCAGGGGTGCAGAGGACGACAGCAGAGACAAAGACAGAGCCCATGAATTCTTTAATGACCACACAATACGAGTCTGTCCACCAATAGGGATTTAAGCTGTGTTCCGCATGCATGCTCTGTGATTGCACCCTGTTTCCAGCGCAACGGTTGGCTGGTTCTTGGATAGTCCTCTCTGGGTGAATGGCCTAAGTTGGTTTGGATGATTAACCCTTTGTTTCATTTTCTCTCTTTTTTCCTTCTCTCTTTCTTTTCTCATAATCAAATTACGTAATCAATAACCAAATCACACAAACACACACACTACACATTATCATTAGCTGGAAATGCATGTGTGGCCATGCCCCACAAAATAGGGCGCATCATCGAGGGGAGCCCTGCGGACCGCTGTGGGAAGCTGAAGGTGGGCGACCGCATCTTGTCCGTCAACGGCTGCTCCATTACCAACAAGTCCCACTCGGACATCGTCAACCTGATCAAGGAGGCCGGGAACACAGTCTCTCTGAGGATCATTCCTGGTGACGGTAAGACTTTGTGGCTTTCTGCTCTGAGCTGTTTTATAATGCAGTAGGGAGGTGACTTATTCATGTGCCTAGTGGGAGTCAATGGGCATCACTGCTCTGCACTGGCAGAAGCACTTTACATCAACCTGGGGAGCTAGCTAGCGCTACGAGAGGCCATGCTCCCTGCCCTGGCTTCGAACTGGGAGAGGGTTGGGACTGTGAATGAGTAGGAGGATGATGCCACTAGATATGTATCTATAGTCAGTTTTACCTTTCCCCCCTTTTATGGGTAAGGTTGGAATATGGGGAGGGCAAGCTGATCAGTATGTGTGTGTTGATTGTGGTACAGTGTATGTTAGGCAGACTGATAATGTCATTTTGATGTACTGCAGTCTGCCAGTTTGGTAATAGCTGCCAGTTTGAAATGAAGAGATTAGAAACTCAGTAAAATGTGTTTTCTGTGTAATCACTGCTCCCTGTCAGTGTTAATCTCCTCAGTCTGGATGGAACAAGGTGACAGGAAGTGCATACGTAATACTTGTTATGGCAGGAACAGGCTGTGACAGGAAATTGGTCCATCCTCATGAGTAGGCATGTGTTGAGTTGTGCCATGTCCCAGAACAACAATACAACCTGCCACTAGAATGGCCTGTCATTGGCTGAGCTGAGAGATTTGTGGATCAATGAGAGGTGTGTGTGTGTGCTAGGTTTGCTGCTCTGCCTCTAAAGGGCCCTCCAGAAAAGCTGGTAAAATGTAGCTTCATTAAGATGGGAGGAGAGCCAGGAGCACATACACATACACATACACAGGAGGAGAGAATGCAAAACTAGTCATTAAACAAAGCATGGCAGTTTGTTTTAACGACCACAATGATAGCATCTATTTATAGCCTGCTGTTTTCTCGAATGGTAAAACAACACACTTGTTGATAGAAGCCATGCAGCCACAACCTTCCCCAACTAGACTGTGTAATTTTGTGTGGCGACGTTTGTTGTTGAACCGTTCAGGTTGTGCTCCCCATACTGCTTCGTGATCATGGGGGAAGGCAGGCAGGGCAAACGGTAGCAAACGAGAGAGGGATGAATGAGTCAGGCTGGTGTTCTTGCTAACTTCAGGCAGAACCCCATTCCATCTATAAGGAACCAATGTGGGCTGCCGTGCTGTGGCTTGTGGTGCAGCACCATTCTATTCTCAAGAAGGAAGGACGATTACCCCTGGAGTTGAAAGAAAAACAGAACGATGGAAGAAGAGAGACTTGTTTTGATTTGATGATCCTGTGTAGAGTGGAACTGGTGTTGTCTGTGAGCAAAATGGTAGATCACAACATCGTAGGCAGTTACCATCAGGTTGAACAGAGCAGCCTTGAGGTGAGACTGTGTTTTCTGGAGGGCAAAACTCCTGTATGGAAATGTGTTGTCAAAGACCCAGTTACGGCTCAAAAAACATTGTTTAGCAGAAGAGTGATTTTAGAGCAGATTCATTTGTTTTTTTTCTCTATGATAGAAGCCATCATACCAGAATCCATGTATTACTCACAGATTAGAGGTCATGACCACTACCCATATTCCTCTGCTGTGTTTCCACAGAGTCCTCCAACGCATCTCTGTTGACCAACGCTGAGAAGATTGCCACCATCACCACCACGCACACACCCCAAACTGCCACGGAGCCTCGGTTAGTGTCCATGACGATCGCAATCCATAAACAGGCTTTTTTAAATAAAATGTATAATACAATCAATTGCATGAAAGATGACTTCTATATGAATATGACATATTTTCATATCTGTGTGTTCGTATGAATGATTACATTTTCCAGGAACAACTCAAAGTCGAAACAGGCTCCTCCTCCACCTCCTCCAACACAAGCTCAGCCCTCACAGGTAAAGACAGACATTTTCTATCGGTCTGTTTCAATCAATCACCAGCATGAAGCAATCAGTAAATCATCACTTCACAAGAACACACAGTGCAGCTTCAACCTTTCAAATCATCAAAGCAATCAATCAATGAATCAGTTAATCAATAAAAGAGGGAGGAAGAGGGACAGTACCACAGCCAAACTTTGATGAGTGCAGTAAGCCTGAGTCCAGCCATTGCGGTGCCCTTTCTCCGTGATCTGCACAGGCAGCAATAATTATTCATTGGTTCCAGGGTGTTGTACCTCCAATCAATTTTGTGTGGTGCTTTACAGCTCAGGTGGTAGAGCATAGCGCTTGTAACGCCAGGGTAGTGGTTTCAATTCCTGGGACCACCCATACGTAAACATTTATGCACGCATGACTGTAAGTTGCTTTGGATAAAAGTGTCTGCCAAGTGGCACATATTATATTATTATGTGAGTTTTTGCTGGATGTGACTTGATTAGTCCTGAAGTTAGGGCTCACGTCATGACACCCCTGTTGGCCCATGATTTGTGGGTATTTGCACATCCCCCTCCTCTGTAAATATGTACTTTTCTGTCTCTCTCTCTCTCTCAGGATGCCGAGTTCTACTCTGTGGATCTGGAGCGGGACAGTAAAGGTTTTGGGTTCAGCCTGAGGGGAGGACGGGAATATAACATGGACCTATATGTGTTGAGACTGGCTGAGGATGGGGCAGCTGTCAGGAATGGCAAGATGAGGGTATGCGCCATGAAAAGATTATATCAACAATTGGAGGCCTGCCCCTCTATTGTACTTGGATTATAATATTTATGTCAAATAGACAGTTCAGCTGTCCTGGGTTCAATTCTCTGGTTGTCTCAATAAACCTCCCCCCTCCTCTCTCTCTGCACACAAAGGTGGGAGATGAAATCCTGGAGATCAACGGCGAGAGTACAAAGAACATGAAGCACGCACGCGCCATCGAGCTGATCAAGAATGGTGGCCGGAGGGCACGCCTGGTCCTCAAGAGGGGCGATGGATCTGTACCTGAATATGGTGGGTGGAGATGTGATGTATGTTCCCTCCATACTATGACTAACATTACTGCCTCTGACTACTAACTAACACTAAAGGCCCCACACACAGGGCGGACTGTAGTCTGCAGTTTCTTGTTGCTGTGAGCAGGATTTCTCTGAGTGGAGCAATGCTTGTGTCTTCAGTGTCCCAATCCAGTGCTTTAGAATTGATTATATCATACCAACATAAGCTTGCATTATGTCTTATAGTCTTTGATTAACAAAGGATTTTCTGAATATTTTCTATCCCAGTGATGTCTGAATGACATTTAATGTTATTGCTCCTTCATCAGTGATTTATTGGCCATAGTATGTAATGTTCCTTTTGCTATGTAAATCAAGTCTTGTTATCGTCCAAAAACTGTATGTTCTGCTCACTCTAATCTGGAATTGTTTCTCCTTATTTCTGCTGAAAAAGGTCAAAGGATCCCACTCAGCCGTCAATTTGATAGGTTTTCCTTTTCTGTGCCAGACAGAACTACATTTCTCTTTCTCTTATCTCCATTGAGGATCTAAGCCCTCTGTTTTCTCTATTTTTGTTTATTTTTCTCTCTTTTTCCTCTCCACTTCTTTTCTCTGGGCTCTTCCTCCTCCCTCCAGCGATGATGGCTCCTCATCTCGCTGTTGGTACTATGAGAAATGACAAGATGGGAGAGCCCTGTTTCTACCTAATGGGCCAAAATCAGTCCACGGTTTGTAGCCAAGTCTGTTCCAACCCACCCTCCTAACCCTTTACCCTTTACCCTCCACCCCAACATCTCTTACCTACTTAACCCATCTCCCTCTACCATCTTCCCCCCTCTCCCCCTACCTGCACCTCCCTGGGTATGTGTTTGGTGCTGTGTGGCCTGGCTCACTCCTCAACCTGTACTGTGCTTTCATGGCCCATGTGAACCCATTCACACAGAATGCACTGCTTCTCCTCCTCCCACCTCTGAATGGATTCATGTCACTGCTCGCCTCCTGCTGCTACCATAACAACCCCTAATTGGGCAGAATCATGGGCAGAATGCTCTCCAGTTTTTTTGTTTTGTTTTCTCCTCTGTCAGGCTCTTTGTTTTTCTGTGGTTCCCATTCCCAATGATGATAATCGAATTGTTTATCATTTTGCTTTTAACGTCATAGCTGCTTGTTGTGTCATTGATAACACCAGCTCTCCACTTGCAATGTTTTGCATCTCTTGTGTTGCTGCCACCTACCTGGACCAACCCAATGCTCTCATAGAAAATATACTGTAGCAATTGTTTACTTTGATGTAATTTAGTTTGAGGATCAAAGTAAGTCATTTGTGTACAAATTTGAATAAACTCATCCTTGAGTTTTTTTTATTGTCCCAATTTGCAAACAAGTCACTGTTTATGGAAGTACATGGCAGCACATGGTTTCCATAAAAATGGCTGTATTGACTCAATACAGACATAAGCAATATCTGTATTGCTTGTATCTGTATTGACACAAGCAATTTGTGGGAATTGTCTGAGCTACCAAGCTTATATTATTTAGTTAGCTTAAACTCCATCCCGTCTGAGAATGTCTCTCATGTTCTTCTTTTGTTCTCATACAGACTCCAGCCATGACAGGCACTCTCCCACACCCGGGGCACAAAACTCTCCGGAAGTGAGAACCCTGCCACCAAACAGCCGTTATCACACCTCATCGGAGTCCAGTTATCCACCAGACCTTCACAAACCATCACGCCACAAGGATGCTGCGCAGGGCCGAGACAGGGACAGGATGGAGCACCAGGGCCGGCACTTTAACCCCCACCACCATCACACCTGGAACAACAACCACAGCCACACCACCCCCAGCCAACACTACCCTGAAATCAGCGGCGGCAACAATAAGAAGAGCCGGGGCCGCAAAGTCAAGAAGTCAGAGTCAGAGAGCGGCATCTCAAAACTCTTAAAGACTCTGCGTAAGGACAGCTCTGGGAAGAAGGCTGCTGCTGCAGCAGCGGAGAAAGAACGAGAGTGGGAGCTCTCCGCCAGTACCAGTACTCTAGACCGGAGTTACGGTCGACCACGCCGCGTCTCCCTCGACCGCTCGCCCACCCGTAAACAGAACGCCTCCCCTGACCGACGGCGGGCCAAGTCCATGGACCGCAGGGCGGAGCGAGCACACCGAGACCGCACACCCGAGAGGGAGTACAATGACAGAGGGTTCCTCAGTCATGCAGCTACTCCTGAACGACCACTCTATGACCGCAGGCTCCTGAGGGAACCGCAGACCCCGGGCCGAGCCTACATGGAGGCCACCACCCCAGAGCGCCCGAACAAAGGGGCTTCCTCCCTGTCTCTCTCCAGGGGGCGCACTCCCGACAGAGGCAGCCTGAAGAACGGCAACCTCCTGAGGGACTCGTCGGCTGAGACGAGGGAGGAGAGGTACGGGATGAACGGAACACCAGAGAGACGCTACAGGTCAGAGAGAGACTCGTCTCCAGACAGCAGCTATAGCAGGGAGGAGCTGAACTACTACAGCACACTGAAGAACAATGCCTCCACTCACAACCACGCCGGCTACAACAACGCAGGACACCGCAACAACGCAGCAGCAGGACACAGCAATGCAGTAGGACCAAACAACGCAGTAGGACACAACAACACAGTAGGACACAACAACGCAGTAGGTCGCGCCCCGAACCAGTTCCCCGAGCCTAAGAGAAGGCTTTACAAAGAGAGCCCCAAGGACCTCAGCATCTGAGTGGACAGAGCCTGGCCCCTGGCCCCTGGCCTCTCACCCCTCAACCTGTCGAGACCACAGTACGTACACTGGATTTAGACTTCTGAGGAGATTAACTCATGTGATTTATCCAATCGCCTGGTTGATTGATTCATTGATTTGACTACTTGTGATCCCAGACAGAGATTCATACCACAGCAGGAGTACAATCTTTGTTTTAGTTCATACTGTATGTTTTGTTTCTGTTCTTATTATTTTGAGCATAACTGAGGTTGTTAATACTGTAGTGAAGGTATGTGTATGTGCCTATCAAATCACAAATGGTGATTTAGCATATTTTTTGGCATTTCTGTTTGAAACCTCAGAGGGAACACATACAGTCGCTAGTGAAAGTCTACACACCCCTTGCACATTCTTCACATTTTGCTGCCTTAAAATGTAATCAAAACATTTATTAAATGTGATTATTTTTCTACCAATCTACAAAATCTACAAAAAAAAGAAAAAAAAAAAAAGATGTATTAATTGCATAACTCTTAGTGCAACATATATCCATTGTTTTTGTCAAAATTTCTCAAGCTCAGTAAATGTGGTTGGGAATCATTGATGGCCAGCAATATTTCAGCCTTGTCTCTGATTTTCAGGACTGAGACTGAACCACTCACACTTTACACCTCTTGGATAGCCCTCCTGGTGGATCTTTGGCATTAAAATGTGTGTTGTTGTCCTGCTGAAAAATATAACTCTGTCCCAGGGTTAGGTTTTCAGAAGACTACGGCAGGTTTCCCTCTAACTTTTTACCTGGGCTTTGCTCCTTTCATGTTTGTTTTTTTATCCTGACAAACTTCCCAATCCCTGCCGGTGACAAGCCTACCCATAACATGATGCTGCCACCACAATACTTGAAAATACAGAGGGTCTCCCTCTGTGTTGTATTAGATTTTACTCAAACCTGTAGTTTTTATTTAGTCCAAAAAGTTTATTTATTTGCTGTTTTATCTTGCAGTATTATTTAACAGCCTTGTTGCAAACATAGTTCATGATTTGGAGTGGATGTTTTAACACAGGCTTCCTTCTTTTCACTTCATCATACAGGCCACTAATGTGGAGTGAATGCAATGTTGTTGATCCTCTATATTTTCAAGTATTGTGGTGGCAGCATCATGTAATGGGTATGCTTGTCACCGACAGGAAATGGGGTGTCAGGAAAAATATATATATATGAAAGGAGCAAAGCCCAAGTAAAAAGTTAGACTGCGTAGACCGTAGTCTTCTGAAAACCTAGAGTTAATTAATCCCAGACACACCCGAATGGCTTTCCAATAGGTGTTGAGTGTTCCAGGCTTAGTCCTGACTTAAATCTGCTTGAAAATCAGAGACAAAGTTTGAATATTGCTTTCCAGCAATGATTCCCAACCAAATTTACTGAGCTTGAACAATTTTGACAAAAACAATGGGGATATGTTGCCCTAAGAGTTGGTAGAATCTTATTCAAAATGATTCACTGTTTTTTATGTTCTATAATATTTATTTCACTTTAAAAATGTGGAGTAGGTTGTGTAGATCTATAGGAAAGAAAATCTAATGTAATCCCTTTTTAGATACAAATGTTAAGTTAGCAAAATGTGAAGAGTGCCAGGGGTGTTTAGATTTTCACTAGCGACTGTATGTGTTCCCTCTGAGGTTTCAAACATGCTCCTTACTGTGGTAACTGGTACTTCATGATGGGCTTGTTTTTAATATGTTTTTGATGTCATTTTCCACCTCAGAATTGCTTTATAAAGCAAACTATAGCACAAAACGTTGGTAGGACAGACATTTTATGGACGACTGCAGTGTACATACCTAAGTGAATATCATACAGAGCAAAGGCAAACTCAAATTTTATAACCAATGGTAATTTTTGAATGAAGTAATATATTTGAAATCATCCTTTTTGCATTTGTCTTGCTATTTATTTTCTCGGTAAAAGCTTAAAGTACCAAATTATATGCCCCATAACCTGAAAAAAAGAATAATTGTTACCCCTGCTGGATTTGCTGTAGAATTGCAGTTCTTTATTCTAAGTTGGTAAGAAAATCCTGATAAATATTGATCAACGGCCCACTGATTCCATACAGGTGATATGGGAGTAGTTCCTCTCTTCCTCTCCCTGCCCAAGGAAATGAGGTGATGATGTAATTATGTAAGGGAAGATGTTGTGATGGTAACAGATGGAAAGTTCCGGTACAGAAGTGGGCTTATCTGCCATGCTGAGCCATGCTGTCACGCCACTGGAGTATGACTGCTGCTTTAACCGTGTTTTTCTGTGTATTCTCTGTTTTATGTTTCACAAAACATCTAAAATGATATAGGAAAAACTACAACAAATGCATTCTTTTATCACTGTTGTTGCCACAGTACTGTAAAAAAAAATTACGAAAAAATAACAATAAAAAATAACATTTAAAGAAGAAGTTAACCTGCCGGCCACCACCTGTACAGAATTTTACTATGTAACTAATAGGAACCTGTCAAGGAATAAAATGTTGCCTTTTTCTTGTACAAAAGATACATTTATGAGAAACCTCTGCAGTGAGGAATGTGATATTGTGTTTATATTTCTGAAATGGACCTGATGATTCATGGGAAATATGTTAATGTACTCTGAATCAGGTATGTAAAGACATTCTAAAAATGGATGACTGTATTTGGTCAATCAGAAGCTGTTTGTTGGTTTGAATATCTCTTGATGGTTAGCCTGCCTTTGTATTATAAAGCACTTGTATGCAGTCTGTGTTCTTTAAGCATTATTTCTTGCAATGTGCTCCAGACATAATGTTATCTCTGTGTTGATAAAAGCAGTACATGCATATGGGCCAATCTTTTTTATAAAACACTATGCATATATAAATACTACATTGTTCATAGCTTTATTTGACCCATGAAGCTATACATAACATTAGTCTAAGTACAAGTAGATGTGGACTTATCCAGTAAAGCTTCTTTCCTTGAGAGGGATCACAATGTTTATGTAGCTATCAAAAGAAGTCTGTGAATGCTATTTTTATTATCAAATAAAGTTTTCCATACAAATTCAAAATAATTTTTCTCTACAGTGGCTTGCAATTATATTCCCAGGAGATTCCTATTGACATGATTAACATTTTAGATTCCCTTTGGAGTGCAGCAACCACAGGTACAGGAGTGCTGCATTTTCAGATTGATTTATTATTTACCAAGGTACCTCAGTATATGTAAACACAACACTTTAGTAACAAAAAAAAACGTGTCTATCTGACATTCCATATTTGTCTGACTAGCAGAGGTTTCGGTAGATAAAAGAGGAATATCTAACTGTATATTAATTCACATCAATATCTCCTTGTTACCCGTTGACAGAATAATTCAGTATGTACATCACAGAAGTGAAATGAATCTACTTGTTAAAAATGGACAAGGTAATGGGATGGAATGTCAGGAAACTGCCTGCTACAGTAGCACATACTGTATGGATACCCACAGCTGTTAACAAGCAACCCCGAGGCAGCTTTTCAGCTATGCTGTCATCTTTTGGTGGTTGTGTGTTTTTTTCCATTTCAAGTATTGAAATGCATAGCAACAGCTATTACTTTCAACTTGAGAGGGGTCTTCTTCTTATCATACAAGCCATATCAGAAACCTAGCCAACACTTGGGACAAATTCAGGCTGAAGCTGTAATGATAGCACGACAGTGTACTCTTTATGCTGTGTCTGTTTATTCCCTATATAGAGCACTACTTGTCTCTGGTCAAAAGTGGTGGTGCACTATTATGGAGAATTAATAGGTGTCATTAGATTTCCCTTCAGAAAATAATAGGGTTAAGCCTTAGCATGTAAATGAACTTTGAATAGACATGCAGGCATTTGGTTATTACTCCATAGTGATCCATACCATAGCTAATGTAGGGGAAAACCTTCAGGATATTTTTATTCTTATTTTTTATTTAACTAGGCAAGTCAGTTAAGAACAAATTCTTATTTACAATGACGGCCTACACCGGCCAAACCCGGACGACGCTGGGCCGATATGCGGGTGCACGCACAGCACTGAGCCTTCACAGCATATGACTCACTCATAGCTTTAACTGCTGATTTATGAATGTGTTTTTTCTACCATCTAGATGAAAAAAGCAAATTGGATGAAATAAAATTGTATTCGCCACCTACACAGTTTACAGCAGGTATAAAAGGTGCAGCAAAATGCTTGTGTGCTAGCTCCCTCAACACTGCAGTACAATATGTGAATTAAAGCAGATGTGAGCAAGTTCTTTGCACGTTTCTCACTCACCAAGCAATCCTTCCCCAAGCCACTTCAACATTTGTTACCTTCCCAGGGAGGTACCTATATGAACTACATGTAGTTCAACTAGTATAATTACATCCTAATTGAATTTTGCAGTAGCTTGGTGGTAGGTTCTAATTCTCACTTTTTCTGTTTAATAGGTTTAGGGCTCTATTCAATCAGATCCGCTGTAGCCGACGTCTGCATAGCCGTTGTTTTGGCGGTGTCGGAGGTAGAATTGCGTTAAAGCTGTCAAATCCACAAGCCACTCCTGGCAGTATAGCTAAAGTAGACATTGCCATTGCCTGCACAGAGTCGCATTAAGAGAAATCCCATGCAGTTCAAACACTGGAATATGAGATGTAATCTACACCTCGATTAGGCTGATAGAAAGCCTCATTATTTTATTTAATGCATTTCAATTTGAGTGCAGTTATTATATAGCCAGTACTTTCTGGTTTTGAACATCTAATGCAAGTGGGATGGGTGAGGCTTCCTGACAATGATCAAGAGCAGCTGCTCACCGTTTTGACAGCTCCAACGCAGTTACACCTCCCACACCGCCAATACAGCAGATATGAGGGTGTCAGCTAGCACCAGTTAACGCTTGATCTGATTCAATCTAGGCCTAAATTACACATTCTGGTAACATCTGACTCCAGAGTGATCTATTCTTGCAATTTGTAGTCAATGACATTTCAGATTTAGATATGATATTTTTTCACAAAGTAGTTTGGATGTAATGAAATACATTTTGAAAAGTAACTTCAGTTAAGTAAACTATCGTTTTATTAAGGGTAGCTTTAGTATAGCTTAACTTCTTCCATTGTGAAGTAATTGGTAGCTTGGTATATTTTCAGAGTAGCTTCCCCAACACTGTTCATTTGTGTGTTTATGTCAAGTTCCTGTTAGAGCAAGCAGTACATTTCTGAAATGATGAAAGCAAAGACTTCTATACAGAATTAATTGGATGTCACGACTTCCTCCGAAGCTGCCTCCCCTCCTTGTTCGGGCAGGCTTCGGCGTTCGTCGTCACCGGTCTTCTAGCCACTGCTGCTCCATATCTCATCATTCCATTTGTCTTGTCTTGTCTATTACACACACCTGGTTCATATCCCCTCATTAGTACATTTATAAGTGTTCCCTCTGCCCCCCTTGTCCTTGTGGGTGATTGTTTTATGTGAGATGAGTGTAGCACGGTGGAGCTACCTGTACTTTGTATTGCCGGGGTATATTTTCCCCGTGTGCCTGTATTTGTTCCAGTGCGCCTGTTTTGCGCACTGGACTGTTGACGCTATCCAGCGTAACTGTGTACTACGGAATAAACTCTGTATTCAGTGATTTACCCTCCTGCGCCTGACTCCTTCAAATCACACTCTCACATTGGAAATCATGAGGGGTAATGCGCCTACACCTCCCTGCCTGTCTTCACCCCAGACCCTAATCTGGTCTGTGGCCAGTGATTGATTGGTTGTTGTTTTCCTCAGCCTCTTTCTGCTGGTGCTGGATTGGAGCAGGTTGCTTGGCGAGCGAGCATATCTGTATTCAACTAGAGATCCGATGGTATGACGGTTGCTATAGCTACGCTATGAAGGTCATTATGAGAGCGTTCTCGAGGTTTGTTTTGCTCCAGCCTGACAGATATTTCTGCACAACTGAGCACTGAGGTGAAGGAATCTCATGTCACTCCCTGAGTTGCTTTCATTTATCACACAGACAGACACAGCTTCTAGTCAGAGGGAAAAAGGTATGGATAACTCATATTTCATCACTGATTAAACTGATTCAGTATCAGTAAGACACAGAAAAACTAAAGCATGCTATACCTTATACTATACTGTACCAGTCAGGGGCATTAATAGGCAACCTGTCCAGCCAGGTCACCTGTGATACAAGTCAGTATTCGACATCCATCCATGTCTGAGGATGTCAGGAGATGACGTGGAAACCAGCCACTAGGGGCAACAGTGAGCGCTGTTAGAGCTAGTTGTCAGCTATTAATGTTCTATTGTGATCGAAAGTATTTGTGTCTGTGTGTGTGTGTGTGTGTGTGTGTGTGTGTGTGTGTGTGTGTGTGTGTGTGTGTGTGTGTGTGTGTGTGTGTGTGTGTGTGTGCGTGTGTGTTTGTGTGTGTAAAATAACCCCTGTGTGTTTCATTTAACCTCAGGAACACAAAGATCTCTTGATAAGATGAACTGCACTTCATCCGATTAGGTCTTTCACCTCAACAACATTGTGTGTAATTACTGTAGATCAGCAGCTATAGTCATGTCTGCGTCTTAATCTATGTACTGTACCCCACTGAGTCATACATAGCCTTGCTTATTCGTGTCATTGTCATTGTCAATCCCTTATAAGCAGCATACAGTCGCATTACATTCTCAGTACAAGATGACCTGTGATTGACATCAGATTACTGTTCCCTTCTTAAAATCTTTACCAAAGCTATGATAACACTTGACTGTACACAACATTTGTTGAATCATTTGCTATTTCATGTACTGCATTCAAGAAGCCTTTGTGCTGGTTGGAAAACGTTTGTTAGTATCCATTGACTCAAAATATACAATATATTCTAAAATTTGCAAAACATGAATGAAAAATAAAACAATAATATATATATATATATATATATATATATATATATATATATATATATATATATATATATATTGATTACATAAGTATTAAACCCCCTGAGTCAATACATGTTAGAATCACCTTTGGCAGCGATTATAGCTGTGAGTCTTTCTGGGTAAAGTCTCTAAGAGCTTTGCACACCTGTATTGTACAATATTTGCACATTATTCTTTAAATAATTATTCAAGCTCTGTCAAGTTGGTTGTTGATCATTGCTAGACAGCCATTTTCAGATCTTGCCATAGATTTTCAAGCCAGTTTAAGTCAAAACTGTAACTAAGCCACTCAGGAATATTCAGTGTTGTGTTGGTAAGCATCTCCAGTGTAGATTTGGCCTCGTGTTTTAGGTTATTGTCCTGCTGAAAGGAGAATTTGTCTCCCTCTAGGAATTTGCCTGTGCTTAGCTCTATTCCGTTTCTTTTTATCATGAAAAACTCCCTAGTCCTTGCTGATGACAAGCATACCCATAACATGATGCAGCCACCACCATGCTTGAAAATATGAAAAGTTGTAGAGGGTCCCTCCTCCTCCTCGAAGGGGTTCTTCCCACAGCATAGGGTGGTGATGATGCAGTGGCGGAACTGCTTGTTCATCAACACATAGATGAGGGGGTTGTACAGGGCTGAGCTCTTTGCGAAGAATGCCGGGACAGTCATGAAGACGGGGCCGAACTCTGATCCCTGGTTGCAGAAAATACACCAGGCGACGCTGGCGTAGGGCACCCAAGACACTAGATAGGAGACAACCATCATGATAACCATGCGGGTCACTTCCCTGTCAGCCCTCTGGGTGGTTTCAGATTCCTGCTGGGCGGCGGCAGCTGCCTTGACGGCGCAGAGCAGGTTGCCATAGCAGAAGGAGATGATGAACAGGGGAATCGTAAAGTGAGCGATGAACATGTAGATGACAAAGGACTCGTTGTTGATCCCGGGGGCGCGTGTGTAGTAGTCGATTCCACATGAGCACTGCATGCCCTCAGGGATATAGCGAGACCAGCCGAACAGAGGGGGCATGGAGCAAGCAGAAGCCATGATCCAGGTGAAGGCCACACCCATGATGGCATGGGTCTCCCCAAAGCGGAAGTTGCTAATAGGCTTGCAGACGACCAACCACCTCTCAATAGCCAAGACAACCAGGGACCACAGCCCATTCTTCCAAAGACGAAGTAGCCATGGATGGAGGTGTACATCGTAGTGGTGAAGCCGCCGATTATCATGAAGAGATCGGCCACAGCCAGGTTGAGCAGGATGTAGTTCAGGGCGGTCCTCAGCTTTTTGTGCTCGATGGTGACATAGAGTGTGAGGAAGTTGATGGGGAAGCCAGTGAGGATGAGGAAGAACATGCAGGCAGCAATCAGTGAGTACGCCGCCGGGCTGACAAGGTAGTACTGGGGGTATTCATAGGGGCTCCTGACAATGCCAGTATCATTGGACATAGGGACGTAAAAATCTGGTTCCTCTGTGCCGTTCATGGTTGTGGTCTTGCGGTGGCAGTCAGCCCTTCAGCTGGTTTCGTTTGGTCCGGCTATACAGAGAGAAAGATGAAAAGGGAACCTTTCCATGAATGCACCAAGGACGTTAGGCTCCTGATTTTATAGGCAGACTTTAAGGTGTTAGATCCGTCAGCACAATATGACTTAGGCCACTGTTAGTATATAATCCAGCCACTACCGCAAACATAACTGGCAACTCATCAAGTTACTATGATTACACCTGCTCATACCTATCAGGAAACTCTGATGATGGCGTAATCTGAAACGCTGCATTGGTTGTGATGCACTTAGGCCTCCTCCATATACCCAAAACTTTGTTAAATTTACAAGTCTGTCCTTTGAAGATACTGTATATTCCAATATATTCTAGAGACATGTTTGAAGCTTCATACTCCGAGCCTAAAAGAGTGAAGAGACGGGGTGCTGTGGGAGATGGTTTATTATAATTGCCGATAAAGAAAACCTTTACGCTGTGGTAATTCTGTGTGCTTATGTTTTCAGTATTATAGTTGGTGCTTATTGTGTGACCTTAACATTTTAAGACTTGCTCTTTATAACTAGAAAAAAAAAACTTTCATCAGCTTCAAGCCTTCTATCTAAGAAATCCATCATTCTCCATTTCCCGCACTGCTGCACCGTACAGTATGTGTGTGTGAGTGTGTGTGTGCGTGCATGTGCACATTTGTGTGCATGTGTGGGTGTGTGCGTGTGTGTGTGTGTATATATGTATGTGAGAGAGAGGATAAATCACGCGTTTCAATTTAATTTCCTCCGAAACTTCATTTTCCTTAATCATACAAACCTGTCAATCAAAAGTTCCTGTTTTAAGACCTTAAAAGGTTATTTCAAGAGATTTTACCTGCTGCATATCTTATGCTCTCATTTAGCCTAAATCAATCATACAGAGAGAGACCTTCCAAAACAATAAAATGTGAGAAGTAGTATTTTGCAGTAATGCTGTGTGTGTATTCTTACCCTGCTGAAAAAAACAGCACAGACAAGCAGGTTCTGGAGAACAGCCTTTGTTGTGTTTTGGCTGGAGACCAGCCTTCATTGTGTTTTCAATAGAGACCAGACTTTGTTGTGTTTTTGCTGGAGACCAACCTTCATTGTGTTATCACTGGTGACCAGCCTTCGTTATGTTATCGCTGGTGAACAGCCTTCGTTGTGTTTTCGCAGGTGACCAACCTTTGTTGTGTTTTCGCTGGTGACTAGCCATCATTGTGTTTTCGCTGGAGACCAGCCTTTGTTGTGTTTTCGCAGATGACCAACCTTCATTGTGTTTTTGCTGGTGACCAACGTTCATTGTGTTTTGGACACATAAGCTGGTCACCAGCATCCCAGCATATACTGGTCACCCACAAAATCAGCATCAAGTCACATTATGCTGGCTTGCAAAGTGATGTCTAATTCTTATTGGAATCCAGCCTGACTGGGGATAAGATTTTTTTAAAAATCTTGTATTCACCCACAATCTGCATTCAGAATGACTGCCAGGGTTAGGAAGATGAATAAATGAGACTACTTAATCCATCTAAACTGGAACAACCATTTCAGTAACGGGTGCAATAAGTCCAACTAACAGATTGGATTAGTTTAGAAATGTATCTTAGTGTAGCATTAAAGGTGAAATATATACAATTGTGTAAATGTCTAGTAGTTATGTCTAGATTTTTTTGAATCCCTGGATAGCTTCAGGTACTATAAACAGGGTCCATTGTGGAACCATAACTGTTTTGCAGCATGTTCAGGATTTCTTTCAAAAGCGAGTCAGTATACCGAATAAACTAGATATCCTAAATAGTGTTGTGTTTGCATTGGCTCAAATATGCTATACTGCACTAACTCAGCCAGCCAGGAGTACCTGTAGGTGTGGATACAGAGATAAATTGCTTCATCCAGGAGAGAGGCTTCGTCTGAGCAGTGGTTGAAAATCATCCGAAAAAAAATGAAAAAAAATATCTTTCAAAAAGCTCTAAAAATGCCATATATCCAGCACAGGTATACATAATATGTGCGGGTAATGTCCATTCATGTGTGGTAGCGTTAGCCAGCCCTAAGCCAGATAACATTATGATAACAACAACATGTTATATAGGGCAGAGACAAAGAAAAATCAGTTTAATAGTTAATCTCATGCTATTTTACACATTTTGCCATGAGGCTGAGAGAAAATGTTGCTGTTTTAGAGCAAATGTCCTGCAATTCTACACATTTTTCCATGAGGCTAAGATAAAACTTTGCAGTTTATAGCTACAAAATTAATGTAATGGCTTATGATGTGTTTGTAACAAGTCCCAGGATTGAGACCAGGAAAACAGATAATACGTTTCCTGTAAAAGAGAAAGTTGGCTGGTTTCAGGAAAATATCTCTTAATAGAATTTAATAAACATGTATTTTCCAAAAGTGTCAAGGTTGAATGATCTGGTTCATTACAATTGCTTTGTAGAAAAATATTATTTCACAGTTGTCATTATCAATAGAAAAATATCTACATAAAACCACTATACATTCACATACTATGTTCTTAAACAGTACATACAGCTATTGCTATTCAATGAATTAGCATCTGTACCAAAATAAAGGCTATTCACTTAAAAATAGTGCAAACGTTCCAGAGGAACTTCTGGAGGCAATTAGACTTTAAGTCTGGGAAAACTCCAGGGTTGGATGGCATACCAGTTGAGGTATACAGTTGAAGTCGGAGGTTTACATACCCCTTAGCCAAATACATTTAAACTCAGTTTTTCACAATTCCTGACATTTAATCCTAGTAAATATTCCCTGTTTAGGTCAGTTAGGATCACCACTTTATTTTAAGAATGTGAAATGTCAGAATAATAGTAGAGAGAATGATTTATTTCAGCTTTTATTTCTTTCATCACATTCCCAGTGGGTCAGACGTTTACATACACTCAATTAGTATTTGGTAGCATTGCCTTTAAATTGTTTAACTTGGGTCAAACGTTTTGGGTAGCCTTCCACAAGCTTCCCACAATAAGTTGGGTGAATTTTGGCCCATTCCTCCTGACAGAGCTAGTGAAACTGAGTCAGGTTTGTAGGCCTCTTTGCTCGCACACGCTTTTTCAGTTCTGCCCACAAATGTTCTATAGGATTGAGGTCAGGGCTTTGTGATGGCCACTCCAATACCTTGACTTTGTTGTCCTTAAGCCATTTTGCCACAACTTTGGAAGTATGCTTGGTGTCATTGTTCATTTGGAAGACTCATTTGCGACCAAGCTTTAACTTCCTGACTGATGTCTTGAGATGTTGCTTCAATATATCCACATAATTTTCCTTCCTCATGATGCCATCTATTTTGTGAAGTGCACCAGTCCCTCCTGCAGCAAAGAACCCCCACAGCATGATGCTGCCACCCCCGTGCTTCACGGTTGGGATGGTGTTCTTCAGCATGAAAGATAGACCCTTTTTTACTCCAAACATAACAATGGTCATTATGGGCAAACAGTTATATTTTTGTTTCATCAGACCAGAGGACATTTCTCCAGAAAGTATGATCTTTGTCCCCATGTGCAGTTGCAAATCGTAGTCTGGCTTTTTTATGGTTGTTTTGGAGCAGTGGCTTCTTCCTTGCTGAGCGGCCTTTCAGGTTATGTCGATATAGGACTCGTCTTACTATGGATATAGATACTTTTGTACCTGTTTCCTCCAGCATCTTCACAAGGTCCTTTGCTGTTGTTCTGGGATTGATTTGCACTTGTCGCACCAAAGTACGTTCATCTCTAGGAGACAGAACACGTCTCCTTCCTGAGCGGTATGACGGCTGCGTGGTCCCATGGTGTTTATACTTGCATACTATTGTTTGTACAGATGAATGTAATACCTTCAGGTGTTTGGAAATTGCTCCCAAGGATGAACCAGACTTGTGGAGGTCTACAATTGTTTTTTCTGAGGTCTTGGCTGATTTCTTTTGATTTTCTTATGATGTCAAGCAAATAGGCACTGAGTTTGAAGGTAGGCCTTGAAATACATCCACAGGTACACCTCCAATTAACTCAAATTATGTCAATTAGCCTATCAGAAGCTTCTAAAGCCATGACATCATTTTCTGGAATCTTCCAAGCTGTTTAAAGGCACAGTCAACTTAGTGTATGTAAACCTCTGACCCACTGGAATTGTGATACAGTGAATTATAAGTGAAATAATATATCTGTAAACAATTGTTGGAAAAATTATTTGTGTCATACACAAAGGAGATGTCCTAACAGACTTGCCAAAACTATAGTTTGTTAACAAGAAATTTGTGGAGTGGTTAAAAAATGAGTTTTAATTTAATATTTTAAAGACTCCAACCTAAGTGTATGTAAACTTCCGACTTCAACTTTACCAAACCTTTTTTGATATACTCAGAGGATCGTAATTAGTTTTAACCACTCCTATGTAAATGGTAGATTATCAGACACTCAAGAAGAAGGTCTGATTTCATTATAACTGAAACAGGATACAAGTGGGAAATATAAAGAGGCCCCTTACATTTCAGTGTTGTGACGCAAAAATTTTAGTAATATGTATAAAATTAAAAAGGTATTGTCTGACATTATTAATTCTAATCAGACAGGTTTTTTACATGGACGATACATTGGAGATAATATAAGGCAAGTACTGGAAACAATAGAACACTATGAAAAATCTGGGAAACCAGGGAACCGGGGCCTCCTGTAGCTCAGTTGGTAGAGCATGGCGCTTGCAACGCCAGGATTGTGGGTTCGATTCCCACGGGGGGGCAGTATGAAAAATGTATGCACTCACTAACTGTAAGTCACTCTGGATAAGAGCGTCTGCTAAATGACAAAAATGTCAAAACCAGGCCTGATATTCATAGCTGACTTTGAAAAGTTTTTTTTTCTGGGGGGGGGTATTTTACCCCCTTTTTCTCCCCAATTTCGTGGTATCCAATTGGTAGTTACAGACTTGTCCCATCGCTGCAACTCCCGTACGGACACAGGAAAGGCGAAGG